ATCCCCTTTCTCCTGCTCTTCCAGCCTGCTACTCTGGGCGAGTCTGAGTTGCCTCTCCTCACCTAATCCTTTCGGCTGACTGCTCTTCTCTCTGTTCCTGGCTTTTAATTCCCTTTCTCCTGCTCTTCCCGCTTGCTACTTCGGGCATCCCTGAGTTGTCTCTCCTCACCTGTAACCCTGGGGCTGACTGCTCTTCTGTCCGGGTTCCTGGCTTTTAATCCCCTTTCTCCTGCTCTTCCCGCTTGCTACTTCGGCGTCCCTGAGTTGTCTCTCCTCACCTGTAACCCTGGGGCTGGCAAGTGGTTATAATAGTTCTTAAAATACTCATGGGGTGAAAAGAAAATGCACTTTACTCCCTAACACATGGCAGAGATGCAAAGGGGAAGAATTAGCACAAATATATGTGATATTAATATTTTCAACATAAATTAAAAGTGCATCAAACAAAATAAACATACTTCTTGTCATTAAACTTCACTTATAATCAATCATAATTCTATTTCTAGGTAACTGTAAACTACAATGTACTGGGGCATCTTGGTGGTTTTTAGCCACTAGATTGCATCACTGGCTTTCATATCCTTATCAAAGGGGTCTAAATGTGCTATAGCAGGGGTAGGCAAACTAAGGTCCATGGACCAAATCTAGTCAACAACTTCTTTTTGTAAATTAAGTTTTTATTCGAACACAAACATTTGCACTCATTTACAGGCTGCTTTCTGGCAGTAAGGCAGAGTGGAGTAATTACAACACACGGCCCACAGTAGTTATTATTTACCATCTAAAGCACTGCTACTCAAAAGTTTGGCTTATATACCCAAATTGATTGTCCCTGATTGACGATAAGAATACCGTGTGAGAATGTAAACCAAGTATGTTACCAAGCACAGTATTTAGTTCAAGTACCATTTATTATTTTTTCATTGCTAGACTTTTTCAATAAGGGATTTAATCCGGTAGAGGCTCCTTTTCTCTTAGTGGCTAGGTGACAGTTTACTAATCAGCTACTGTGAATATTACTACTCTTAAAGGCTACATGGGGCAGGAGAAAGAATGACCCACAATTCAAAAGAGATCATAGTGTCATTATTTGGTACAGTGTTCTAAGGTTTTGCAGTATAAGATGCTAGGTTTGGTGAAAAACTGAATGAGATTCATCGAGTGGTCCTTACATAGACAGAATCTTTTCTACTTCCTGCTCTTGTAAGGTTTAGAATTACACCAAAAATTTTGTTAGATACTTACATTTCAACAAGGTGATAGCTAATGGGGCCCTCTTTCCATATCTTTTCTTGGGTGCAAGAAACATGAAAATACTTGCCCCTTCAATAAAAAAATATATATGTATATATATTTGAAGACATTAAAGAAAATAATTCATTAATATGTTGCTTGTTTAACCTCTTTGCTTATAGAAAACTATAAATTATATTTTGCTTGAAATCAAAGAATTTAAAGCAAATCTATTTGCTGTAATTCAGCAGTATCACCCACTGCATGTTAAGTTCTAATTTTAAATAAAGCATGTATCAGTTAAAACACATAGATTAAAATCTCACCACTAACTTCAACATTTCTTAGAACAAATACACAATTTCTAAAGGCGCCGAAGGTAATCTGACTCAAGCAGTGATCTGAAAACAAAATTATTCAGAGACAGAGTTTTATTGCAAATATTTACTCAAAATCTACTATTTACAGCAGAATTTTAATAGCTGTTTAAAACATTTAACATTCAGTGAAACAAATTTAAGGATGAAAAGCATATTTTAAGAAAAATGTAGCACTTTAAATAAAAGTTTATTAGTACTTCAAAGCAAACTACTGTTATTCACCTTATTCATTTCTATGTCTATTATTTTCTAGAAGATAAAAAACAACTGAATTTAGCGATCATCATAAGGACAAATTAAGCTAAATTCTCAAAAACCGATTTTTACATCACTGCTTTAGGTCCCATTTGAAATTTCTATTTTACAATGAAAGAAAAGTCATTTAAACATGGCTGAATATATGCCAGGGTATGTTTTCAGTTTACTGCTTTACAGTTTTTACATTATACCATACTTTGGTTTGGCTTCCAGACCATTTCTATGGATTTATTTATAATGAAGATCATTAAAACAATGTTAAAAGCGTAATAGTTACAGGCATTTCAACAATGGGTTTCAACAATGAATTTATACAACGAGTATATCAAAGGATTTCTGCACAGCTTACACTGACCAAAAAGCACAAATATAAATTTATATTTTAATAATTTCACTTTCACTGAAAGTTTAATTAAGGTAAGCATACAGCCTGGCAGGCTAACACTTGTATGGAGGTACAGAGATTCAAATATTCTGGTTACATGCTTCAGACAGTCTGGAATGTTAAATTAAATCCAAAACTAAGTTTATCTTCACCCAAATTCTCATTATATTAAAACAGCACTCTAAGCATGCTCCATATACCAGCATTATACTCAACATAAAGCTTTTGTGAACAATGCCAATCCACCATCATTTTAAATGAAGTATTCCCAAAAGGTAGGTTTCCAAATCTCTTTATTTAAATTAATTGAAAATATATAAGGGTGATAAGGATCTTTACCTTAGGACTTATGGAAGTTTCAAAAGCTTTATGAATGTTATTAATATTCTTATAATTCAATTCATATTGGTAAACAAGAACGGTTTCCTGAAAACTGTTAAATGAGACTTTTCAATCGCAAATTTAACATTCACTAATATATTATTCATTAAAAAAAAATCTTCTTAGAAAGCCATACTAATTGTGCTATTATTGGTGAACCGATTTACTTAATAATCTAGGTTGAACATACAAGTAATGTGTATGAATGACCTCCTTCAAATTTTTCTGTTTCTGAACTCTACAACAGTACCACTGAGCTCCCCTAATAGTATTGTCACACACTGTTCTTACCATAGGTACATTACAACTTAGAATGACAAATTAATTTCAACTCCTTTCATTTTCCTCTGCCAGGTCCACTGTTCTTTCTGTTGTGTTAGGGCTATTTCCTCTAGGAACATCATCTGATCTGACACTACACTTCATCAGTCTTGGCTGAAGGCTCACTACTACCTTTTTGAAAGATTTCTGTGGCTTCATACTCGAGCACCTCTGATGGAGTCAAAGGTTCCAAATGAATACTGCCTTGCTCACTAACATCAGAACTAGCAGATTCAGGTTCATCTTTTTTTCTCAAAAACTGATCTATACTAACATCACCTGATGTTAACCGCAAATCCTTAATATTCTTAGAAGAAAATCTAGCTTCACTGGAGTTGGGATCTTTATTCAGATCACATGAAATTATGTTTTCTGAACTTTGACATATCTTCAGCTCTGTTTCCTGACAAACAAGTTCTAATTGATTTTCTTTTTCCACTTTATCTTCATCAATATTTGAATCATAACTGAAGATCTTCTTTGAGCCAGTCTCCTTGTCTGTAAGACAGGTATCATTTTTCTCATATGAAACTGTTACACTTTCTTCACTTTTTGTTACTGATGAGCCTTCAAGTGAATTTGCATCACATTCATTTTTTTCTTCCTCTGATGAAGCATTATCTTGTTTACTGAAAAAATAAAGCCATTTATTATCTATTGTTTCTTAACACAATATATTTGGACACAATCAAAAGAAAGACTTGATCTAAAAAGTAAAAAGTGTCAAGGCACACTTGCCCACAAAGACAGAAAAAGAAAAAAAGGATCTAGATCTACAGTCCTTCCCATGACATTACCATAACTTAAGAGGAGGCATATTTATAGGAAATAGAGTGAGAAATTCCAGTGGGTAGATGTGGGGAGTCTATTGACTGGTTTTAGTCCTGGTTATCATTGTTTTTATCTATTCATGTATCTTGTGTAGTTTTCCTATTAATTTTTAAGAATACTTTATATAAGGAATATTTGGAAATAATCTATTTTTATTTTATGATTTATACACTGTTTTTATGCTTAGAATATTCTTTGTTAGGTAAATCACAAAACACAAACCTTTCCTTAATTATTAATAGCCTAATGTAAAAAATAATAAAAACATACAAGCCCGAAAAAGGTATCTAAATACATACATATATATGTGTGTATGTGTATGTATAAATAATGTGTGTATATATATATATACACATAAACACATATTATTTATGTGTGGAAGTGTGTATATGCATTTTAACAGAAACTATTTCATGAATCATAAAACATTAGAAACAGATTTCTAAGAGGATATCCAGCCCCTTATCTAGATTTAGGAGTCCTGTATTATCAGTAATAAATCTAATCAATATTTACACCTTATTTCTTGCATTTAATACATTTGGAATTTAGACTTTTTTCCAATGAATTATCCAAATATCTTGCAACATTATCAAATGATCCTAAATAATTAAGTTATATTTAAGAGATCACTTATTTACTACATATCTTGTTTCACTAATCTGTCGACTTCATAGACTATTCTTGAGTCAATACCACACAATCTTAACAATTACAGATTAACAGTGCACTTTATTATCTTATAAGGAGTTCTGGTAGCACAGTGCCTAAGGCACTTGACTGCTTATGCCAGAAGGTTGGTATTTTAAACCCACCAGCCACTCTGTGGAAGGAAGATGGGGCAATCTACTTCCATAAAGATCTGCTGCTTCAGAAACCCAATGGGGATCACTATGAGTTGGAATCAACTTGATAGCAGTGGGTTTGGTGTTTTTGTTGTTGTTTTATTATCTTGTAGAGTAATTAATCTACATTCTGCTACACTTGTCCATAAACTTAGTAGTTTAAAAATGTAAAATATATCTGTACAAGGATGCTCATTAAAATGTTTAAAATAGTGACTATAGAAAGAACCTAAACCTAATATTCGACAACAGAACAATGATTAAATAAGTTATGGTATTAACAAGTGGAAAAACACTAACCTTACTTTAACTTTCACAGTTTCACAATCAAATTTTATTGGGATTTTGAGTAATCATTAAATCCATAAAGTAATTAGGAAAATGGCCTGTCATTCACATTATTTAATACTATTTTCTATCTCAGCAAATTTTTGCTTCTCTTCATTTAAGTACTACACATTTCTCATTTTTGTTACTACTGTGAATTAATTATTTTGTTCATTATACCTTGTAATTGTGTATTACTGGTATACAGGAAAGGTACACATTTTCATACCAAGGTACCTTAATTAATAGTCATTAATTCCAATCATTTTCAACTCATTTTTCTTGGATATTATAGGTCAATTATGAAATAATGTGCAAAAATTTTTAACTTTTTCTTCTTTATTTCAAATTTGTAGTTATTTTTGTTAACATCTTATTGGACTAACTACAACTACAGAAAATGTCAAATAGTATCAAGGGGACTAGACTGGACAATCTACTTCTGTAGAGATACCACCTTGGAAACCCAAGGAGGGGTCACTATGAATTGTAACCAACTTGATGGCAGTGAGTTTGGTTTTTTTTTAAGACTACTTTTTTAATTCCTTGGTTGAATTTTCATTAATTTTTTTCCTCTAGAAGGAAAAAGAGCTACGTAGAGAAAGGGCTAGCTAACTTTACTATTAAACTCCAAGAAACATATCATAAAGCCTTATTCCAAAACTTGCTTTCTAAGTGTAACAGACTAATTAATCTCAACAGATTAACAAGCAATGTACTGTAAAATATACAGTGTTAAAGAAGGAAGAAATTACTTAAAAGATAAAATAAAATTATCTTTACATAGAATAAAGTTGGTAGCTCTGGTAGCGTCATGCCTAAGGCATCTGACTGCTAACCAGAAGGGCGAAGGTTCAAACCCACCAGCCACTCCTCGGAAGGAAGACAGAGCAATCTACTTCTGTAGATTAAAGTTCTAATTGGAAAGTTAGGATTTTCTTTTGCTAAAGAGGATTAGAAAACGTCTTGTGTTCCTTAGTGTTCTGAGGATTACATTTTAAAAAATCAACCTCTGAATTCTGAAAGTTTTGAGATCCCATGTCAGAACTAGTCCTATAGGTGTTTGAAAAAACTTAAGAAAATAAAAGACCATAAGATTATCTTTGCAATAATTTGTTTCAATGATGCATCTTGTAACTGTTTCATTTAATAGGTACAACTAAAATCTGTTAACATTACTTACTAGTAATTTTTTTTAATTTAACAATAAAATATACCTGACATGTCTAAATTTTTTTTTTTTAAAAAACCCAAGGCTCTAGAGAGCATTTTTGTTAAATTCAAATTCAAATTTTTATTTTAATGAAAATCCATTATTTAAAGCAATCATATATACAAAACCTTAAGTAGCCCTTTGATAATTGCCTGTAAAATAACACAGCTCAAATTATGTTATATACTTGAATTTCAAGAGATTCAGTGGTTCCTTATATTTACCTTTCAGGCTTTGATGTTTCTGTTTCTCCTTCAGCCATATTAGGTCTTGAAATTTCCTGAAATGATTAATAATACTTTTCATTTAATTCATGGCTAAGCCTAAAGAAAACAGCTTTTATTATACTAAATTTTCTGGGTAAAAGAAACATAATATACCAAAGAAATGGAAAAACAATTTCTTTAAAGTATGTACTAGAATAATCTTCATTGTTCAGGATTTTTAGAATTCTTTAAAAATATCTATAAGGTTCTAGTGTACCAAAAGGTTTCTGATTGAAAGTCAAGAAGCAGTTATCCAGTTACTTCAATACCTGCATTCCTTAGCTTCTCTTTCAAATATGGACCATAATTACCACTACTGGAATATAAAACTATTAAAATATAATTTGTATCTGAATAACAAGATCCATTCATAGTGTTTTTACATAAACATATCAAGTAAAGACACTTAAACATCTCTGAAATTATGATTTAATATTTGGAATCATGGTAATCCTTCCAATGTTAAATCCAAGTAGTATTAAACTGTAGACAAATATTTTGCTTTTGCAGATGTTTTACAGGGGGAAAAGAATACAGTGAAATGTCAGTAAGTAGAATGTTAACCTCCCAGTTTATAACAATTACTGAGCACATATGATGAGTGAGGTAATATGTTAAGAACTTTATATTAACTATCTCATTTGATCCTTATATTAGATATTATTTTTTAAAATTATGATTTTAGGAGAAATGAGATGGAGCATTCCAATAAGTGGTGGAGTGAAGATTCAAATCCAGGCCTGATACTTAGCCACCACTGAAGTAGGTTGCCTCAAGCATGTGAAATTGATAAAGGCATATTAATCACACATATTTATCTCCTCACCCTCCCCAAACCCAGCTAACATGAGGACAAAAGAATAAGAAATTTTCAGTCATAAAGACCAAGATACCAAAGCATATTGACAGCCAAAGAGATTTCAAGAGAATTTGGTATACAAAAAGAGGGTAGAGAATGGTAATAGACTTAGCAATGTGAAGGAGGTTAAGAAAAAAATGTCTGTCATGGTAGAGTGCAAAAAGAGAGCCAATTTGCCCAGCCAACCTAAGAGACCTGTGCTTGGATGCCCAGTACAATAATCAGTACAAGAAAGGTAAAACTGAAGCAAAGGGACTGCAGGAAATCTTAATGAGCTCCTTTCCGCAACTCATGCAAACAGTTACCCTATCCTTTCGCCTACCACAGTGGCTTGAGGCTATCCCTTTGTACTAGAAAAGGTTTAGACTTGGGAACATCAGAAATAGTAAAGCACAGGGGTAAAGTACTGAGAGAAAACAGAAAGATTTAGTAAAAGTTGATATACTGCCTTTTTGTCTGACATCTTAGCAAGGATGCAGTTGTAGAAGCTGCTCTCCAAGCTTCACAATGCTATCCAAGAATGACAAGAAGAAAGAAGCTGAAAAGTTGGCCAAGAAAGACAGATCCAGTGAACAAATCTGGCAGCGAGGTCAAAAAGTGGTCCCAAACGCAAAGTTCAGGACAGGCTCAATAACCTGGTCTTGTTTGACAAAGCTACAAATGATACACTCTGTAAATAAGTTTCCAACTATAAGCTTATAACCCAGCTGTTGTCTCTGAGGGACTGAAGATTCAAGATTGCCTGGTCAGGAGCTGTTTAGTTAAGGACTTACCAAGCTGGTTTCAAAATACAGAGTTAAAGTAATTTACACTAGAAATATCAAGAGTGTATATGCCCCAGCTGGTGGTGAAGATGACTTGGGAACATGCTGAAAAATTGTTTGGACCTGTTCAGGCATCCAGTTCCCAAGCAGATTGTGCAGGTCGTACAGTAAACAAATCCAGGGAGCAACTTTTACTTTATAGTCCTTTCAAATGGTTCTCAAGCTGACATGTGGGGCTCTTGAGACACTTTCAGGAAACATGCAAGTCAGAACTATTGGTACAAAAGCAATGGTAAGTAAAAATGCTGATACCCTGGCATGAATGAAAGCAAACTATTAAAAAAAAAAAACAACTCACTGCCATCAAGTCGATTCCGACTCATAGTGACCCTCATTGGGTTTTTAAGGCTGTAAATTTTTATGAAGTAGATCTCCCCATCTGCCTTCTGTGGAGCAGCTGGTGAGTTTGAACTGCTGACCTTCTGGTTAGCAGCCAAATGCCTTATCCACTACACCACCAGAGCTCCTTAAAAGCAAACTATACTGGTATTCATTTTATTCTTTACCATTACATATAAGCAGTAAAATGAATTTGATTAAACCTCAGTCCTTTAATTCATATAGTTTAATATTCTGTGTGATGAAATAAGAAGTATGCATAAAGCACTGCTGTGGCATATTGAAAACACTTGGGTGGGTAATTGACTTACAAGCTGATTTAACCACTTTTTTTTCTTTTCTTTTTTAAATGGGACACCACTGTCAAACCATAGAGATTTAGACTTAGGTATTTTGTAGACATACTCTCGAAAATTAACAAAAGTGTATCTGTCACTCTAAGGGAAACACTGACAGTATTCCTTGCCAGTAATAAAATTCAAGCAAAAATTAAAGTCTAGAAAAACTTGTTCTACAACAGTGAGCTTGAAAGCTTTCCAATACTTAAAAGAATTTTCTGATGAGATTAGTGCTCATATTAATAAATATAATTGGTTAAATGTAATTTGTATAATGAAATATGTTACCATTTGGAAGATCTACATAACTCAGTGAACTAATGTTTTCCAAATGACCAATGTATGGTTACAAAATCATGCATAGATAAAAGATTCATTTAAAGTGTAAGACAGACAAATAAATTTTAATGTAAGAGTACAAAACATTCAGTGATATGCACAATGGAATACTATGCAACACTAAAGAATAATGTAGAATCTGCAAAACACCGCATACCGTGGATGAACTTGGAGGACATTATGCTAAGTGAAATACGTCAATCACAAAAGGACAAATATTGTATTAGTCCGCTATTGTAAAAGTTAAGGAAAGGTTTATCTATAGAAGGGAATTTTCTTTGTTGGTTACCAGGGGTGGGAAGGGAGGGGAGGGAACGCTGTTAGATAGAGATAAATATTGATTTGGGTGAAGAGAAGGGCAATGTACCAAATGTGAGTGACCAATATGGCAGCACTGAGGATGAGAAAGACATA